CAAGGGAAAGCCAAAGAAAGCAATGGGGAGCCAGGAGGAGAGGTGGCTGGAGTGACCAGTCGGCTGGTCCTCCTGCCCCCTCCCCCACAGCAGGTCTTTCTGCTTCTCACCTTCCCTATTCTCTTCTGCAGCTGAGCTCATTCAGGGCCCCCAAATTTCCTTCCTCTGGCTTTCTGCTCTCTGAGGCACACTGGTGGGATAACCAGGGCTCAGATGTGGGCTCTAGGCCTTCACTGGTCCTACTAGCTCATGTGAAAACCCAGGCATCATTTCTCAGTATCACAAGGATTGGAGTGGGGAGGTGACAAGCTCCAGGGGACCCTCCAGGGTCCTGCTTCCTGCTCTGAGCTGCTCTTCCTGGCAGGTGCCAAGGCAGGGAGGGGCCTATGGGGCTTATGCCTTCTACCTGTCCAGCTGGCATTTTGTGGGCAAGGGAGAAAATATTTCATTTTGCTCTTGCAGACCAAGTGGGGTGCTTGACCCTGGCTTTCCTCAGCTTCCCCAGGATACTGGTCTCCATTTTGGGTGCACTGTGGCTTTAGCTATGTCACCCCTCCCCAGCCCGAGTCACATCCCTGCACACAAGCACCTCGATGCACATGCACACAGCACACACAGGGGCCTGTGCAGACCTGGCAAGTCCTGTGCCAGGAAATCCCTGGAGTGAACTTCAAAACCGCCTGCTGGGGTGGGCTGGGGGCCAGCCTGTGGGGGCTCTCCTGGGATGATTGACGGCTGCAGTGACAGAAGCAGTGAAGGAAGGTGCTGGGGTTGGAGCTGAAGCTTTTGCAGCTTGCAGGTGGGGACTCTCCTGAGGGGTGGCAAGTGTGCTACAAGCTGAACCAACTCTAGCTGCCCCACCACTGTCCCTGGGTTACCCAAAGCTCCCTTTGACAAAGCCTGGAGCCTGCTGACACTGGAGGCTGGGGGAGGGCTTTCCCTCGCCCTCTGACTACCTTCCACCATTCAAGAGAGCTTCTAGAACTCTGCTGTAAGAGCTAGCTTGGGGGGAAACAAAGTCCACCAGCCCCATGCTGGCAGGCCCGTAGGGATCACGGTGGGAGTAGCATACTCCTGGGAGGGGCAGCCTGGCAGGTCTGCTGTCCCCCACCACCTACCGTGGTCACGTCAGAGTCTGGAGGCGTCATCTCCACCAGGTTGATGTAGTAGGGAGCATCCTTCCAGGTGGGGTGGTTGTCGTTGATGTCCAGGAGAGTGATGTTTACCTGTGAGTAAAGCCACAAAGGGGTGCTGTGAGATGCACCTGGCCAAGGTGGGTGAGGGCAGGGCCCACCAGGGGAACTCAGATGTTACAGGCCATCTTGGCATTAATTCCACCAACCCCACCAATTTTGGGAGCCTTGGGAAGGGTCTGGGCTTTCGAAGGCAGAGGGGAGCCAGGTCCTTTCAGGAGGAGAGGGTTTAGGTGCTGTCCCATCAGGAGGCAGAGGAACAGATGAGGCGAGCCCTGGAATCCTTGCTGTGACCTGGAACTTCTCCCACCTGCCCTAGTCTTGGCTGATGGCGATCTGATAGCATCCCTTGAGCTTCCCAGTCTCAGCTACGAGCCAAGCAATTTCCTGGCTCACCTGCCACCAGGTAAATTATTTACAGGGCTCTGATTCCTATTAGAATGGGCCTCCCTTGACAGAGTAGGGCATTGGGGATTTTTCTGCCAAGTCCCGGGCCAAGCAGTACCAACCCCAGCCCCTTGGCTGGGCAAGGATGGGGGCAGCTGCTGCAGGTAGGGTGAGGGCCATGGAGAGAGGTCAGGAGAAGGGTTCCAAGGGAAAGCCAAAGAAAGCAATGGGGAGCCAGGAGGAGAGGTGGCTGGAGTGACCAGTCAGCTGGTCCTCCTGCCCCTCCCGCACAGCAGGTCTTTCTGCTTCTCACTTTCCCTATTCTCTTCTGCAGCTGAGCTCATTCAGGGCCCCCAAATTTCCTTCCTCTGGCTTTCTGCTCTTGGAGGCACACTAGTGGGATAACCAGGGCTCGGATGTGGGCTCTAGGCCTTCACTGGCATCATTTCTCAGTATCGCAAGGATTGGAGTGGGGAGGTGACAAGCTCCAGGGGACCCTCCAGGGTCCTGCTTCCTGCTCTGAGCTGCTCTTCCTGGCAGGTGCCAAGGCAGGGAGGGGCCTATGGGCTTATGCCTTCTACCTGTCCAGCTGGCATTTTGTGGGCAAGGGAGAAAATATTTCATTTTGCTCTTCCCACGGGCCCCCACATCCAGGTGGCAATGCTTTTCTTCCCCATAGCTGTGGTGGCCCAGGGCTGCCCTCAGCTGATGATGACCTGGTCACTGCCTCCTCATTCCACTCCCACAAGCCTCATTTCAGCTTGGGACATGGTGCCCGGAGGTCTGAGGGGGCAACCTGAAGCTGAGCTGGGGAGCACCAGCCTGGCGGGCAAGGGGAAGCTGGGGGGGCACTCACAGTGGCGATGCCAGTTTTCTGGTTGTGGCCCACACCCCCGTCCACCGCACGTACGATGAGGATGTATTCAGACTTGGTCTCTCGGTCAAGCAGAGACGTGGTGGTGATCTCACCTGCCAGAGGGAGGACAGTGAGTGGGAGGGTGCTGTGGCTCAAATGTGTCCCCCAAAGCTTCGGGTGTTGGGAACTTAGTCCTCATAAGTGGATTAATGTTGCTATCATGGGAGTGACTTCGTAATAAAAGCGAGCTCCCCCAGCTCTCTTGCCCTTCTGCCATGGGATGACACAGCAAGAAGGTCCCTCCAGATGCCAGCACCTTGCTCTTGGACTTCCCAGCCTCCAGAACTGTGAGCTAAATAAACTTCTCTTCTTTATAAATTACCCAGTCTGTGGTATTCTGTTATAGCAACAGAAAACACTCAGACAGAAGTTTGTGTGGGCCAGGCAGAGAGTGAGGGAAGGAGGAGCGAGCGAGTGTTTACGAGATGTCACCAAGCTGCAACAACCTGGCAGCGTGTGAATGTCTGTGTGCTGGGGGTGCTGAGATGGCGCTCACACAGGCAGAGGGGAGGACACCCAGGCCTCGGGAGCCGGCACCCCAGAGCTGGGCAATCTAACCCCACGATGAGGAGGTATTTGCAGACGTAGGAAAATCTGGGCTGCTTACAGGGAGGAGGGGCTTGACGGCAGGGCAGAAGGGACCTCTCATTTAGACTTTTGACATCATCTTACTGGCTTTATCACATGGAACTTGTTACTTAAATCCTCTGTGCCTCAGTTTCCTCATGTGGTCAAAAAGGAACAATAGCAGGACCTACCTCAGAGGGCTGTTGTGGAATTAATTTAGTTAATGTCATGGAAATCTTAGGACAGTGCCAGGCACTGTGTATTCATGTAAGTCACAGAAATACAGTGACAGGAAGGAAAAACACCCAGTGTTTCACATGTGTTCCAACGTGTGACTCACGACTGGACAGTTCAACTATAGTGCACTGAGAATTAAATAATAATTAAAATAATTTCCTATTGCCTTGTGAATAACACAATCACATCACCGTGAATTTTTTTAGTGTGTAAACAAGTATCCTGTTAAATAGAAACATTTATTAAAATAAACCACACTGTCAGTGTGTTTTTGGCATTTCTTTGTATTTTAGTGTAACTGAAATATGAATGTCACCCTGGTAGCGGTGCGCTGGTAAATGTTTGATAAGTGGCTCCCCAAAAGAAAACAAAGGGCATTTGCCAATTTCCATAGTGTGAATACTCCCACCAGAGCCCATTTTAAGCCACCAACTTGATGGCATCGAATGTGCAGTTCACAAATGAGCACATAACTGGCTCTTGGGAGCACGTGCGAGCCAGTACACGCAGACGTCACCTCAGCATGTCACCATTAGATCCTTTACCATTTCTTATCTGCTACAGGAGAGAGCTACACTTTGAGGACAGTGAGACCCAGATCTGAATTCTGATTATGGCCCTTGTCAGATGCTTGGCCTTGGGAAACTTTTTTGATTTCTCTGAGCCTCAGTTTTCCATCTGTAAAATGGAGATTGGTATACCTTCCAATCAGAGTTTTGTGAGGATGAAACCTCTACAGGTGAAGCCCCCAACACTCAAAAAAATGATCATTTCCTTCCTGCGCACTGTGAGAGTTCCCCGAGGGCAGGCACCATGTGCTGCTATCTTTTTATCCCCATCGCCTGCACTGTGTGACCTGGGGCAAGTTGCTTAACTTTTCTGTGCTTGGTTTCTTTCACCCTAAAACAAGGGAGCTGGGCCAGATGGTCCCTAGGATCCCTTCCACACTGACATTTCTGTCTCTGGCACTCTGGCTTTGTCCTCTGGCCTGTGCAGGGCTGAGCAGGGAGCTGGGGTGAGGGGCAGCAAAGGAGCTAAGGCCAGGAACAGAAGACTGGCAAAGGTCTGCCCGACAAGCCATGCTCCCTGCCAGGGTGGTGTCGATTAATTGGCAGGGCAAGGAAGAAATTAATCTCTAAAGTTTTAAACATGAACTTGTCAGCATGATAGATGGCCTCTTTAGTCGGGGAAATTAGATCCAATTAAGGCCACCTTTGTGGACCAGTCCTGGCTAATTTGACCAAGGAGCTCAGAGGAAAATGCTTACACCTTTGCAGCTCAAGGAGCCGTGTTAAGGCAGCAAGAAAAAGTCCATGTCATCATTAAAGGCCCTGGAGGGAGCTGGAATTCCTGCCTGGGGAGACGGGGTGGTGGGGGTGTTGCTGAAAGGGCAGTGAGCTGGCACTGCATTTGGGTGGCAGGATGTGGCTCCAATGTAGCCTCATATAATGCTGTGTTTAACACTTGGGCTCGAGTCAGAAGTCCAGGCTCTGCAAGTTCTCAGTCAAATTCCTTAATCTCTCCTATGCCTCAGTTTCCTCATCTGGAAAATGGGGATAATGCTAGTGGTTGTCTCAGAGTGGTGAGGAGAGTACAATGAGACGATGCTGGTCAGAGTACTTAGGACAGTGCTGTGCATTTGGTTATTATTAATTAACGATGTGACTCTGAGCCCCCTGGAAATGTGGGCTCGCTGAGGGTGGATGCTCCTGACAACGGGGAGGAAGGCCCTGTTTTTTCAGAGCTGGAAGGAGAGGCTCAGGATGGCCCTGGATCCCCTCTCTTCAGCCTTTGCACACATCAGCACCAGCCATCTGCTCCCCAAGCTTCCAGGAAAAGGGGTTGAAAGAGGCATTGAAGGCCTACTTCCACCCGGAAGTCATGACAGATAACAGGAAGGCCTAATGCCCTGCTGGGTAACCGACTACCTGTGGCATGGGATGGCCAGGGTCCCCCAAAGATTCCTGCTCTCTTCCCTGCGTGGAATTATTGCTGGGAAGTGGCCGCCGGGCAGGGACCACATTCCCTGCCTTCCTTGCTCTAGGCGGGCCATTGCCTGGTCTGGCCAATGGGATGTGGGCAGGAGTGGTCACGTCACTTCCAGGCCTGGCCCACAAACTCCTCCTGGCACAATACTCCATGCTCTCTTCCCTTCTGCAGTGACCCTGGAGCCACTACATGGAAGGGGCCTGGGCCCCAGACTTGTCATGTGGAAGGCTGTCCACTGAACATCTGCACTGGAATGCTGTGCGAGTTAGAATTTCTGTTGTCTTAAGCCCCTGAGATTTCAGGGTTTTCCTGGTTAGTAATCTAGGGCTCCCCTAACTCATCCAGAAATGGGTACTCAGAAGTGACGTGCCTTGCATGTCCACTAAGCTGACATGGAACTCCGTGAGGGCAGCGCCATGTCTTACTCCCTCCTGTACCCCAGCACCTAGCACAGCACCTGACTCGGAGCAGACCCCACTGATTTCTGAATGAACCTATGAATGAATGTTCTGGGGCCCCAGATTCCCTCTCAGGTCTGGTTGAAAGCCTGGGATCTCTTGTTGCTTCTTTCTGGCCCCATTTCTTCCCAGCTTCAAGAGAGAAAGCTGGACAGAGGCACATGGAGAGATGAAGAAAAAGAAGAGAGTCACACGGGCTGAGCAGGAAGCCGGGGGAGGGGCCCGCAGGAGAATAAATAAAAGAGAGTAACAATAGCAATTTCTTTTTCAGCACTTACTATGTGCCAGGGATTATTCTAAGTATGTTCCCTGTAATAACACATTTAATCCACACGACAGCCACAGTACGATCACCCTCATTTTGCAGGTGGGGAAGCTGAGGCACACAACTGTGTGAGGAGTCAAGATTCAAGAATGAGATCAGCAGCTGAGGGAGGGGGACATATAGGCTTGAATAAAGGTGTCCCTGAAGAGTGGCGTGTTAACCAGCTGTTGGTAAAATGGAACACATTTTAAACACAGTAGGACTCTTCACCCTTGAAAGACATCCTCTAGTGGGTAAATTCATGTTGTGATTTTTTTTTTTTTTTGGTAATATCAGTAATCCCACTCAAATTAATATTTCAGGGATAAAACCCAGTGTTCAAAGCTGGCTTGCTCAGGCCGGCCCGTGGCTCACTTGGTAGAGTGCGGTGCTGATAACACTAAGGCCACAGGTTCGGATCCCATATAGGGATGGCCAGTTTGCTCACTTGCTGAGCGTGGTGCTGACAACACCAAGTCAAGGGTTAAGATCCCCTTACCGGTCATCTTTAAAAAAAAAAAATTTAAAAAAAGCTGGCTTGCTCAAAACTGAAGGGGGGAGACCCCGGCCCAGGGCTGGGTGGGGAGAGTCAGCCTGAGGGTGCAGAGAACCAGGGCTCCCACGGCGGCGGGGGGTGAGGGGCAGGGGAAACGCACCTGAGCGGGCATTGATCCGAAACTGCAAGGAGCCCTCCAAGGAGTAGATGATGGACTCCTGGCCATATTCCCGGGAGCGGTCCAGGTCCGTGGCATTCAGGAACAGCACTGTGGCTCCTTCCAGGAGATGGGGGGTGGGGTGGAGGGAGGAGGCTCTGCTCACCCTGGGCTCAGAGCCCCAGGCCCTGGGAGCAGGACCTGCACCCACCGATAGTCCTGCAGGAACCTCTCCGCGACCAGCTCTCCAGGAGGCAGGAAGCCTTCCTGCGGGGCTGCCCCACCTGCTCTTGTGGCCCAGATCCCAGGGCTGAGCAGGGACAAGGCTCCATGGGAGGGTGAGGCCTGGAGCCAGGATGGATTGGGGCCCTCCCTGCCTCTCTTTCTCTCCTGTCTCCCATACCATCCCGCCCCCACCCCGCCTGCTCCGCTCCCGTACACCAGCCCAAGCTCAGAGGACACCACTGCCTGTCCCCGCCCCTGCCTGGCTGGCCACCGTATTAAATACACTCAGATTGACCAGCTTTTACTTTGGGTCAAAAGAAATGAAGCTCCCTGTTAAATTATTCTACATTTATTGTATCCAATTTTGGTCTGGTTTTATCTTGTTCACAAGGGGAATTTATAAGGGTTTTTATTTTCTCCCTAATGTCCAGTTAAAGCCTTCACTTTCATTTCCATCTCCATGAAATCCCGGGTCGGGGGATCAGCTTTTCCAGCTGCCCTGGCCACACCCTGACAGTGGCTTGTCCAGAGGCTGCACCCACCAGGGCTTTTAGCTTGGCCTTTCCTGCCACCTGTTGCCAGCTCCCGCAGCTTGGCATGCAAGTTCAGTGTGCAGGTTCCTAGAGCCTTCACACCTGGGCTGGGGTCCGCGGGACCCTGGCCACTGCCTTTGATGGTCTGAGTCTCAGCATCCTCCTCTGCAAATGGGACTGACAATGGCTCCGGAAGAGGGGGACTGCTAGTGAGGGTCCCGAGCACGAAGCAGGCAGGGTGCAGGCCCATGGCGAGTTCGCACCTGAGCTGCAGAACTGCTGGATACTACCACGTGGCTCAACCAATAGTCCCTGGGGGGCAGGGGTAGGAAGGTCATGTAGCCCCTTCCAAGTAGCTGTGGGACCTCTAATCTGACCCTCAGTCCTGCCCTGAGCAGGAGAACAGGTACATGAGCCCTAACTGCCCCTTTTCTAAGCATACCCAACTTGGAGGAGAATCAAGGGCCACAGCAAAGGCCATTCTTTGGCACAGTGCCTGGGGATGATGGGGATCGCTGGGGGCTCTTTAGCAGTGACACTCTCCAGGGGATGCCTGACTGGGTGGGACAGGTAGGGCTGCGCTGGATACAGCCCGGCACTCACCCAGCTCATCATCAGACACCACAGAGGTACCCAGAGGCTCTCTTTAGAAGGCCCCACAGTGCCAGGGAGGGCCATCCCTTACCCCAGCTATCACTGCACTACAGCTGATCCCTAATTCCAGTTGTCCCTGACTCCAGCTGTCCCCTGATTCTAGCTGTAATCTGACTCTAGCTATCCCTGTCTCCAGCTGTCCCTGACTCGAGCCATCCCCTGACTCCTGTTGTCTCCCAACCCCAACTGTCCCCTGACTCCAGCTGCCCCTGACTCCATCTATCTCCTGACTACAGATGTCCCTGACTGCAGCCATCCCCCGACTCAAGTCGTCCCCCGACTCCAGCCAAACCTTGACTCCAGCTATCCCTGACTCTAGCTGTCCCCTGACTCTTCCAGCTGCTCCAGCCATTCCTAACATGCATGTCTTCCCCCCTGGAATAGTCCACTCTGGGTGTAAGGGTGAGGCTGCCAGCCTGCCCTGAGGACAGAGCAGGTGTAGAGCTTGAGTGTGGAGCTGGTAGTCCTGGGTATGCAAGCGGGGCCCTGGCCCCTGAGGCCTGGCCCAGTGATGAGCCTCCCATTCTCATCCTCATGTAGAAAGATATGCAGTCTTTCAAGGCCACCCCCTCTGAAATCATAGTCTCTGGGACCTGCCTCCCAACACTGTAGTCTCAGAATTCTCTGCACACTCTAGATTGTTTAATCAAGATTGCTTAATTAATCATGGGTCATTATTCTCTTCCCTGCTAGACTGTAGCTGCAGGTGAGTAGGAACCAGGTGCTGAGCAGAGTGTCTGCACATAGTAGGTGCTCTTTAAATAGTTGCTGTCTGGCAGATAACCAGACATCTCCAAAGGCTCCCCTGACTTGTCACAGGATGCTTGGCCTGGGAAACATAGAGAAGGCCATGGACCTCTCTGAATTGGGTGGAAAGCCAGGACCTGCACACCGTAGGTGCCCGTGACTGCTGGCTGCCTGTCCCCATGCCCCTGTCCCCTCCCTGACTGGGCCCACACCTGTCATGATGTTCTCCACCACAGAGACGAAGTAGGCAGGCTTGCTGAAGGTGGGAGGGTTGTCGTTCTCATCCTGGAAGGAAAACAGACAGGTTGCAGGAGCCAGAGAAGAAGTCGGGGCTGGTCAGCTGTCTAAGGTGGGCACATAAGGGGCAGGCTGGGCACAATTGGCACTGAGTGTAACGAGGGGGCCAGTTGTCCCTCTGGCAGGTTATGGTTCAAGGAGTTACGACAGGCCTTGGGGAAGCATGTGAGGGTCAGGAAGGGACAGTGAGGGACAGGGAGATGGAGAATGAAGGCAGCAGGTGGGGTGCCTATGACTCCCAGCCCCCATGGCTGTCCCGGGTCTTCCAGCTGAGCTCTCAGCTTATTCTAGTTCTCCCACCCTCAGCTCATCAGTCCCCACCCTGGGGAGACCCACTCAGACCTTCCCTCCTAGCTCAGCCAAGATGATTGATGGTGGAATGCTCTAGAAAGAAGGGAGACGAGCACACCCCAACCATAAAGATACTGAGTGTGCAGTGGCAGGCTGGGTCAGGTGGTTGCCAGAGCCTGAACGCTGCCCTGGGCTGGCTGTGGGCAGGAGCAGCTGGACCTTCCTCATGTACACAAACGATGGCTCCTCCAGCCCCTGGGCAAACCCTGGCCCAGAGCCCTCCACCTGCCAGTTCTGGAGCAATCCCCCTCTGGACCAGCCTTCAGCAGGCCACGGGATGGTGCTTGGCCGAGGGGCTGGACTGGGCAGCGTGGGTTGTCCCGGTCTCGGGGGCACAGGAGCCCAGGTGCAGCCTCTGCCTCCTGCTGGCTCCGCTGCTCCTCCGTGCCCACCCCCCTTCTCAATCAGAGGAGGCCTTCCTGCCCTTTCAGACTCTCCTCCTCACTCACCACTTTTGCAATCACTCAACGAGAATCCCTCCCTGCTCTCCTCTTTGAGGAAGTCTCCCTGACCACTTGGCTCCGAGCCTTCTCCCCTTTCTCCAAGAGCCCAGGAGTCAGGCCATGCCACATCCCCTTTGGGCAGTCTTCACGCCACAGTCTCCTGTGGTTCATGCTCCGAGGGCCTCTTTTCTCCTGTAACTGGGAGCTCTTTGATGGGGAGGATCCTGCACGAAGCCCCTTTTTTGCTAGAGTCGCTTTTGGCAGAGCAACCATGAAAGAGACAGGGATATGTTAGCTGGCTGTCCAGCCCTTGGGACTTTAGAGAATCCCAGCCTTTTGGGACTGGGGGCACCCAGAAGGGAGTGCTCCTCTTCTCAAATCTGTCCTCTGGCTCTAGACTGCACCCTGGCTCAAGCTGACCTCCTGCCCTCTACAGATAACTGGCAGTCTCAGGACTCCCTGATGTCCCATGCCCCCACGGCATTCACGGGCACCTCCCTGGCCCCTGGCACGGGCAGGAGTGCCCCATGTACATACACATTTAAGCTTCTGCTTGGCTGCACGGAACGGCACCGAGAATGTCAGTGACAGAGCATGAGGCAGAAACTTATTAGCGGTGATATTTCCCCGGATCCTGGCGCTGCATTCGCTATTAGTTCTAACTCAGCGGCTCCCTCTACAAAAGCTTATTGTCCCCTAATGGGAAATCTACAAACCGAGTTTGACTTCTTTATTAAAAACCAACAAGCAGCGGATGAAAAGGAATCGCCTGGCTCCTCTTGCCCCCTCCTCCTGGAGCCCTGTCATTCTGATCTGCCTCTTCCCACCCCCAACCTGTGTAGTCAGTGCTGCCGTCAACTATTTCGTCTCTGTTATTTTTTTTTTTCCAGTGGAGAGAAAATCCTTTCAGTGGAGGGAAGCGGCAGCCTAGCCAAGTGACAGCTACTTAAAAACTACCCACGTGCAAAACCAACCCAAAGGCGGTGACCTTTTCAAGTGTGGTCTTTAGACGCAAGTGACTATGCATCCAAAACCCTGCTCGAGAGACAATGTTCACTCACAGCCCAGGTGGCACGTGCCTTTGTTGCCAGACCCTCCTGCTGCCAGGGGACAGGTTGGCCTTGGCAGGAATGTGACCAAAAGAGAAGGGGCTCTCCTTGGCTCCCTTTCTCAACTGAGCCACAGGTTGGGAAGGTTCTGGGGTTTGGGGCAGTCCCTGGGTTTCAAACTGTCATGAGGACAGATCTTCGAAGACCTTGTGTGTGGTCCCCTGACCAGCAGCATCAGCATCACCCGGGAACATGTCAGAAACGCAGGATCTCAGCCCAACCTCAGACCCACTGAACAAGAATCTGCATTTTAATAAGAGCCCAGGTAATGTGGGTGCACAGGAACTTCAAGAAGTACTGGTCTCAGTCACACTGGACACTTCCCAGCCGTGGCTCAGTTAAGGGAGGGAGCCAAGCAAGGCCTCTTCTCTTTTTGTCTCAGCCCCTCAAAGGCCAGAGCAAAGAGGAGGACAAAGGCCAAGGGATTGAACTGAGCTTTTACCCACTGCAAATAAAAGAGTGGCCAGCAGCGTCCCTCCCTCATACCAGAGCGAGTCTCCATGTGTGCAGGTGGGTGGGGGCAGGAACCCACCTCGCTCCCCGCTGGGCAAGACAGGGTGTGCCCTGGTGTGGAGCCACAGTGGTCCAACAGGAGTGGAGCCATTACAAATTTCCCAGGAATTTCAATATACTGGATCCCTACACCAAGGCTCCAGGCCTATGGGTGTTCAGGGAAGAAGTTCAACCGGGAGTCACCCAAGGCAGGGTTCAAATCCCAGCTCTGCCACTTACTAGCCATAAGTGAGGAAGACACCAGTGACCATAGCCAGCTATACTCCCTCCCTGAGCCTCAGCTTCCTCATCTGTAAAATGGGGTCGAAAGGGATTGGGTAAGGTGAAAGGACCTGGCACTTTGCCGGAACCCAACAAGTTTTACTTTCCATTTGGCCCTGGGCTGGTATAGGCCACTTCAACTTATTCTCCTAAACCTCCCCTACTCTTCTCCCCTCCTTTGTCTGATCCCCCATAGCCTAGTGGGGTCCCTCCCTGTACCGGCCTACTCTCTGGAACTCCCAACGCACACTGGAGCCAGGCCGGAGCGTGGATGCTGCTGGTGTTGTGCACAGCTGTCACATCAGCTGTGGTGATGACCACACAGTGGGTGCCAGGTGCCAGATGCCACCTGCACAATCTCATTTTATCCTGACAATATCATGAAGCAGGTCCCATGATTATCCCCACTTTGCAGATAGGGAAACTGAAGTTCAGAGAGGGTGAGAAGCCCAGGTCACACAGCTAGAGGGTAGCAGAGGAGAGTTTCAAACCCACGTGCCTCCAGAGCAACGTGCCTCTTTCCACTCAGTGTTTCCTTGGGTGTGGAGCAGGCTTCATACGCACTTGCACATCCTGCCACGGACCTTGCACACAGGCAGAGGTCACTGCCTGCCTGAGCAGAGTGGGAGACTGGCTGGGTGAAAGTGATGGGTGGGGTGGTCAGGGTAGTGAGTCTGGCCAGGGTTAGGGAGGTTTGGGGGCTGTGGTCAAGACTGGGAAGCTAAGGTCAGGTTTGGGAGATGCAGTCAGGGTTGGGCCACGTGGTGAAGAATACCAGGACATGATGTGATTGGCAGGGAATGCATTCTAGCTCTTTGGTGTCGCCCTCGGCGTTTCAAGGTAGGAGGTTGTGGGTTCAAGACAGGCAAGTTTTTAGGCTTCTGTGGGTCTCCTCTCCTCTGCTCTTCTTCCCTGGCCTCTCCCTGAGCCTGAGGTGCCAGACACGAGGATTCTAGAAGCAGCCCCCACCTCTCTGCCTTTCCCTTGCTGCCCTGGCTCTGCACGGCCTCACCCTCCTGCCATTCCTCAATCCTACTCCCACGTGCTCACCTGGAGGGCTTCCCTCAGGCATCCCCCTTCCCACCACTTCCAGCTCCATCCTGTTCAGCAAGCAACTGGCCAAAGACATTTCACTTGGGGGCTGGCCCTGGGGCTTTAGCCTGGGGTTGAGAGGACAAGGCTTATTAAAGCCACGTGTGGGGCAGCACCAGAGGCTGTAGGCGCAGCTGGCTGTGACAGGAAGGCCATCCCCATGCTCTGGGGTGAGATTTTCCTGAGCTGATGTCAAATCACAGCATATCTGCTAACCTGACAATCTGATCTAATCCTCCTGAGCCGGTAATGCACTAACTCTTGAATCAACACGTGCACACCCCTCTCCTGCAGACGGAGGGAGGAGGCATGTCACGCTCAGGTCTGTGTGTGTGTGGCCTCAGCGGCGAGAGGTCCATTGGTCCTGCTGTCACGCCGCACTCTGCATCCCCGGGGTCTCTGGGGGCACAGCTCAGGGCAAATGAACCAGTAAGGAGATGGATCTAGCGACTGATAATTTCAGACACAGAAGGCTCTAAGGTGTGTTTGATATTCATGTCAGACAAGCTGTGGTTTGGTTTCAGGCCCCTTTAGATCTTCAGAGGAGTGGAAAAGGAAGAAAAAAAAAAGTAGAGGGGGACAGAGGGAGAGAGACAGAAGAGAGAAGATGACCTTCCAGTAATTCCGTTGAACTTCACAGAATGTGGCCATCAATGAGGGAATCCCATGCCACTGACTCCTTGTTTGTCTCCCGACTCTCGTTTCCCCATAGAGGGTGTGCCAAGGCCACCAAATGAAGTCAGAGCAGGACGATCTGTTTCTTCTTGACTTACAGGGCCCTGGGCCTTCCCTGGCCAAGCTGGGAGGCAGCTTAGTTGCTGCAGAAATGGCAGAGGTTTGCTAGGGCAGGCTTTGGGACAGTCTGCCAGGTAATTCCCCGAGCTGTGAGGACAGCCAGGGATGTGGGAGATGCAGTCCTATGCCACTGGGTTCATGCAAGGTCTGCTCTGGAAGCACTGATCACCCCTTGCCCCAGAGGGCAAGGCCAGCACTCCTGGGTACTTACAAACACCTCGATGGTGATGGGGACAGTGCTATTGAGAGGGGGGTTGCCAGCGTCCTTGGCCATGACCGTCAGATAAATCAGCCCGTTGGAAACCTGTTCGTAATCCAGGGGATGGCTCACACTGATCACTGAAATGACAGGAACAGAGTCCCCTGTAAGCAGACTTTACATGCCCAGACTTCTGGGTAGAGATGGTGTGGCTGGCATGGCCCA